CAGATCCTAGCAGACTTTGTCAGAGCTACTTTTTAAAAATGTCGTTTTAAAGAGTGCAAAATTCTGAACAGAATGTTGAATTGTCGCATTTCCTACGACTTTCTCTAAAAACCTCAAGAGCATTACAAAAACCGTAAAGAAAAAACGAAACTTATCAAAATATCGCTGAAAAACATCTTTTCCCGGTTTTTGTGATGCTTTTAAATTTTCAGGAGAGGATGGTAGAAAAAGGAGACGACTTCTCATTTTATTCAGAATTTTGTGCTCTTTAAAACAACATTGTTAAAAAGTAGCTCTGACAAAGTCTTCTAGGATCTGAAAACTGCCGTATTCGGTTTTTTAGAAACTTTGCCTTATTAAATCTTAGTGTGAAATGCATTAGATAGAAAACTCAATTGACTATTAAAATTACTACTTGTGTTTGAGATAAGTGTTTTACATAATAGGAAAATATCAAAAATACATTGTTGTTAAGCTTTTTACCGCCACCTTATGTACTTTGTGTCATGCAAGTCCACGTTATTTGACTTCAATACGATATTTCTCAATTTCGTCAAGTACTTTTGATGAAAGATCGAATCCAATAGGAAAATCTCTTACTTTAGATTCGATTTACAATGAGTTCTATAATTGATGCGTCGATTTTTAATATGTCATGTCTTATTTCCTAATATTCCCTTGTAACAATAACAATTCTCTTTCTATTGAACCATAAAAATAAACAACTTTTCATCGAGGCCCCAAGTAGTACAAAAAAAAGATTGAACCGCATACATATGAAGTGTTGATGAAAAAGTCTTTGAAAATATTTTGTAAAATTATTTAGACTTTAATATAAATTTTTCTGCATCATATTTTAATGTTGAGATGTTACAAGCTTTTTAAAAAATCCTACATGCAGATATTATTTTTATTGTCATGATTCATCTTACAAAAAGATAAGTGAGAATTATATTAACCAGCTGTTCTGGCACATTGCAAAGCTGATTTACCACTGCATGTAAGACCACCAATACAATCCCAAGGCACTTTTCCACGTGTGGCACAGTCAAGCATCTTTTGACCACATTGTAATGTAAAAGCTGTACCCATACATGTAACGAATATAGTAACGCGTGGCCCCAAAGCAGCTACAAGTCGAGCTGCAACTACGGCTACAGCTGGCAATATTCGTCCTTCATGTATAAGTTCTAGTTCAACTTCATCATTGATCTTTTCAGATTGAGATGCAATTATTCCCAAAAATGAGAAAAATAGAAGAATAAGGTAAATACAGTAAACTAAAATAAATGAGAAATCAACTGACATAAGCTATGAAAACTTTATTACTGAATTACCTTTCATTGTTACAGTGTTAAGCCGATTGAAAAACGACAAGATACGAATACGGCTTTTATATTATCAACATTTTGTAATCTCTTTGATGAGAATCTGAACATATGGTTTTATTTTCTTATTAATAAAAGATTCTTTTATCGTAAATCAATAAATAGAAAAATAAGTATTTTGTACTTAATCGATCAAATATTTTTGCAAGAGAAATAGATATTTCATTTAAGTAACTTACGAATTTACTCATTTTAATTTAAATACGCAGTTACAGCATAGATACACTAAAATTAAGTTATATTAAATTTTGAAAACTAAATAATGTTTCATAAATTAACTTTGACAACATTAAACTCTGTAGTTAGATATTATATTTGTAAAAAGTAAACGTTTCACATAATTTTCCTAAATAGTATTTATAATTTTAAGAAAAAAATCTTCATCAAATGGCAAATTTTATCAAAAACAAAATGACAAGTTAATTCCGAGTATAACTTCTTTTATTTGATTCAATAATAACAATCAAATACTATAATAACAAAATGACAGTTGTATGTGTGCTGTAAGTAAGCAAAAAAGAACAGAATATTTTATCGATAGAAATGTGGGAGATTGCAATTCTTCGGATATTTCATGACGTCACTGCAACAAAAACTAAATAATTCCAAAATCTTTGTTGTTCGAATTATTTCAGTCAAGTAATAAAGCATTATTATTTTCACATGTGTAAGTTCTACTAAAATCAGTAAAAACTTCACAAGATGTTTTAGTTCTAATTCCCAGGTCGAAACTAAAATTGACCTTGTCTATCTCTATTCGTAAATTTAAATAGAGGGTAAACCAATGTGAAGACTGTCAATGATGCCGAAATTTAACACTAGTTATTTTTTGACTCTCGGTGACAGTGACATCTCAGCTGATCGGTTTATATTTCTAACCATGAAATTTTACTATTTCTTCTGAACGTTAGAATTGTTGTCTTTCCACGAGATTCTTTATTTCTCACTTACGTTTTTACTTATATAATAAAATTTAAAGCAACAACATCGTGTCATAATAATGCAAGAAAAATATCTTATACCTTTAGAATAATCTGATGATGATTATAACGGATAGAGCAAAAATTTTGCATTAATTTTGGTTTTGATGTAGCATTACAAGGAAATATTATAGAGACTTTGTTCTTTTCTTGTTGAAGAAGAGCAAAATTACAAGTATAGAAATATATAAAAGAATCTGATTGAAAATATTTTCTGAAAGTTACAAAAAATTTAGAATTAAAGGTGTTGCGAAACTCTTCTTCAACTTCGCGGTAACACTTTTTGTATTCCGATATATTTATTTTATCTTTTTGATTATCAACTTTCGATGTTTTCCAGAATTATTTATATATACACAACTGTTTTTTACAACGACGGCTTTCATATGACATTAAAATAATTAATCTAATACACAAGAGGCTGAAGAACAAATATTTTAATTACAAAATAGTCAATTTGGTGTTTAAAACGCGAAAACAAAGTCTCGTTTGAATACTTCTAGGAGAAACTTTGTCCTATTCTAAATAATATTGTTTAACAAAGAACTCGAATAAAATTCCTTTTTTTATATAAAATATATATCTTCTAATAATTTTTTTTTTTCATAGTAGAATTACGCTTTTATTTTACTGTGTTCAATAGGTATTACAAAAAAAGATTGATGGATACCAGACAGTGCTATAACCATGTTCATATTGGTTGTTTATAAAACATCGAAAATTTCTGTTTTTTATTGGCACAGTAATAGTTCTTCATCCTTACATTATACAATTTAGAAAAGAAGAATACAAATAAAAACTTTTGTACTATGTGTAGTTTTTTTCTAAATTAAAAAAAAAACAAGTTACAAAAGAGTTTCTTCATATATTTTATTCTACGATTTTTGTGACCTTCAGGAAACACTTTCGATGAAGTTCTTTTATATAATTACTTTTGCACGAAACATTTTATTCTTTCTAATAAAAAAAATGATCAAATCTTTGCGATATTGCATTGCAACAACACATGAAAAACCAAAATGAATGCAGAAATTTTATGTTACCCGATATTGTAAGATGTCGAAGAAATTCTTTGCTGCTTCTTCAAGCGTAAAACATTTGACTTTCTTCGTTAATAGTAATAGAGAAACATGTTAAACGCTTGTATGAAGTCTATATGCAGAATAAAATGTAAAGCTATTAATTTACTGTTGCTTTATGTTTATGTTTAAAAAAATCATTATTTCTGTCTAGTTCATAAAATGCATCTTCAATAAATTATTTACTAAAAGTCAGATGTAGTTCTTTCTTTTCTAGAAATTAAAATTTTAATTAGTATAGAACAATTCATTTCAAATGATTTCCGTAAATATGTAATTAAATAAAGCTTATGGCATTTATTCTGTTACTTGATATTCTACAAGAATATTTCTAGTCGAAATATTGTTCTATTCAATACTTATAGTTATCATATATTCGTTTAAAAGAGATTTGTATGTAAAATTCAAATCCATATTTTTTCAAACGAACAAATTTTTTCAAACAAATAATTAACAATATGTTATTAGATTCGAACCGGATCTTATCACAATTTATTTTCTATTTTCAAAATATACAGATGTTCTCTTGTTCTTTTCTTATTATTGTTTGATTAATTTATGCCACATAGAAAATGATTGTCGTTGTTTAAATTGTTGCCAATGAATTGTACCGGTACCAGAACAAAAATAGGGTGAAGCAAGTTTAATTCGAGCTATACATCGATGTTCATTCATATTTTTTGCATTGGAATATAAATCAACCATAATCATAATACGATCGCGATTACTTGAATTGAATGCTAAAATATTAATATTAAATGATTCATTAAGAGAAAATGTTGAAGCATTTAATCGATAAGATTTTGTTTGATGAGTCGATAATGGCCGATGACGATCGAGAAGAATTACTCGAAAATAACAAGTAGCCGCTAAAATATTTATATTTCATTAAAAAAAAACAAACAGATATTTCAACTATAGAAACTAACTAGAATTTTTTTGATCAATTTTTAATCCTTTAATACGTTGTATCTCAACAGTTAAATAATGATCATTATTTTGTTCAAGTAAAACAAGTACTTCCATTGATGACTAAAAGTATTAAAAAAGGAAAAAAAGAATAGTTTCTTTATGGAAAAATTTATGTTCGTTTTTTTCGTTCTTACAGTTCTGATAATTTCAATTTCATGTATAAAATTAATTGGTTGTTCGTTTTCAACATTATTTATTTGATTGAAATAAATTTTTCCGATTTGTCCAAGTTGAATTGTCTTTTTTGTTTGATCCTTTCCATAGAATTTCATTAATATTGCTTTAACATGAAGTTTAGTCAATGGTATATTTGAAAATTGAATCAAATGTTCATTATTGTCTTGTGCAAAAATGTTTTCATTATGTAAAATATTTTTTATAGAAAAACATTTAACTTTTCCATCAGGAATTAATTTAACTTGAATTGTTAATTGTTGAAGTTGAATTGCTGATGGTAATGATGTTAAAGAATGAAAATAAATTTTAATTTGTGATGATTTATAATAAACTAATGAAAATGATGCAAGACATGGTAAAATATGATGTGATGACTTTATTGTTTTTATTATTGAATCAATTGTTGTTTGTTTTGATTCATTTATATTATTACAAATAGCTACAGATCGACGGCGAATTTTCTCAGTTGTTGGTGGTAGTGAAAATTCAATTTGTGCTATTTGTTTTGAATCAATAATTGAACTTCGTCTTCTATTTGAGCATTTTGTTATAAATACATTATTTGCCAAACTATGTGAACGTAATTGATTGGATTTTTTTTTATTGAGATTTATATTTGATGAATGATAATGATTTGAAAAATTCAATGGATATACTAATTTTTTAGGTATTATATCAATTGATGGTTGAGTTGAATATGTTAATCTTTGATTTTCATAACTGGATGACGATTTAAAATTTTCTCGAAAATGAATTAAGGCATAAATAATTACTAATGACAGAAGAAATGCGCTTATTATTGTGAGAACTAAAATCAATGACACCATTTTTCTTTGTCCTTTTTTTGAATGAATACGAGTATAATATCTAAAATAAATAACCTACCTAAGTGATATGAAAAAGTTTTGCTTCTTCTTTTTTACAAAAAAAAAAAAAGAAAAAAGATTATTTTGACTTATATATTAAAAGAGTCTTTTAATGAAAATCACGAAGATCAATTGTAGATCATGTACTACTGTTCTCGTTTGTAGATTCATTAAAATCTTGAATATTGACAGACCTTTAAGAAATAAAGTCAAAAACAAATTTATAATATACAAGATGCTTGAAAAATATATGATACTAAAAAGTCATGACATTTACTCGGTCAACAATCGTTTGATGTTTACAAAAAAATAGCTAGTTTTTATATTTGAAAGATTAAAAATGTGGCATTATGAATAATAGGAAAGAGTATTTAGCGATAAAATGTCAAAATGTCTAACACTTGGGAATTTGATTTTATGTCTCTTCTTTTTGTCGACTATTTGGCCTTTGTTTTCTGTCATCTTTCTAGAATCCTCATCTGTATGCTGTCACTTTCTATCCCTAAACCGTTCAATAAAAATCGTCTTTATTCATTTCTATTTATTGTCTGAGAAAGCGAGGTAGGTAAAAACATCAACATAGACGATTTTTAATTTAAAGAACTCTATATATAAGAAAGTTAACAAAACAGCGTAAATACTTGCATTTATTAATTATAAATAAATTCAGATAAATACAAACGAGTTCAACAATACAAAACAAAAAACTAAAAACATCGTAGGAAGAAGAGGGAGAAAACATGAAAGAAAAAAACGAGACACTGATATAGTTTTTCGGATACAAATAAAACCCAACTAGCTGACTTATGGTTTTAGATATCAAGATAAGAACGGCAAAAGAAACTA